GTGTGAGTGGCTCCACGCGGCGGCGTTTTGCCTCGGGTTCTGCTTCTGATCCTGCTTGCATCTCAGCAGCGGGATAGGGGAAGGCTTGGAACCGAGCCCCTTCTAGTGGGACGGGTCGGTCCGTATCCTGTGCCGCTTCCGCTGCGGTCCCCGTCGACCTGAGTAGGCCTTGCTGGGAGGTGTGGGGGCTGTTCGTCCCTTGCGCATAGTGGGTTTCTGCCCCCTGTCCAGTCGACTAGGTGTGCTTTGCCTGCTTCGACAAGGAGCGCCGTCTCTAGCATGGCTTGCTGAGTTTGTGCGCTAGGCTCCAGCGCATCAGCGGCTGCTGCTGCTGCTGCTGCTTGCGGGACCCCTTGGTGGCTGCTGCTTGTTGCTTCCTGGAGGTCGCTGTTGCTATGGTCGATCACTACTGCCGAAGTGCCCTCTGAGGTGCTTGCTGGCTGGTGTTGTCGTGGCTTGCTGCTACCGGCTCTGAGGAGTGTCTTCGGGAAAGGGGGGTCGGGTGTCTGCTGTTGGGTTGCATCTGAGTGTGCCCAAGTTGGGGCGTGGGGCGATGTCTCCGGAGGTGGGCTGTGGTGGCTGTGGCTCTCTCTCTCTCTGTCTCTCTCNNCTCTCTCTCTTCTTCCACAGGGGCAAAGGAGCGAGTCAAGCCCTCTGGCCACCTGGGACAGCTCTCTCTCTCTCTCTCTCGCCGTCTCTCTCTAGTACGACCAGGCCTGGCTCATTTCAGCAGCAAGCCCGACCAATGCTTGCGGATTCCCAACAGATTCCTTGCACTGCCCAGGCTGGTTTCAGAACTTTCGGCTGTTGGTAAACTTCCCAAACGACAAGCCGAAGGCTGGGGCGCTGGGATCCCAGGACCCCCAAGATCCCCCAAGTCTTGAAAGAGGCTTCTGTCTGAAAACGAATTTAACCTTACCTCAAGCTCCGGGCGTCCCCGAATCGCCAGCATGGAGGGAGGGCCCAGTGGATACCGTCAGAAGATGCCAAGACATTGACATGCTCCTCTCCCACAAGCTGCTCAAAGGTTCAAGACTCTATGACTCCTACCACGTTTTCTTCTCCTGCTGCTAATGTCGGATTATACATCATTTGTAGTCCAGGCTTCGGTGCACCATCCACAAGGCTCTGACTGTTCTCGTGGCTTTGGATTTCATACTTGTTACGCTTTGTAGACGGACCTATCAGTAGATCTACCAGGACAGGTCTTTGCATTCATTATTTACGTGTCCACAGCCTAGACATGTGCAAGCGAACATAAACCCGTACGCGCACACATCCATACATCCATGCATGCCTGTGCCGCACCGGAGTTGTGCGATACCGATGGCCAGATTGACCATCGCCACAATTCGTCTGCCTGCCAGGTTCCTCACCGCAAGGACTGATAGTACCGAACCATCAACAACGCCGCCATCAATAACAGCATCGGCACGATGGCGATGAATGTCATCGACATCCGGATATTCATCCTCCTCCTGCTCATGCTCATGCTCATCATCACGACAATCGACATCCTTGGCCTCTGCTCATCAACATTCTGACCTCACCATCTGCATCATCGCCTTCGCGACCGACATTCCATCGTCTTTATCCTCACCCTGACTGCCATGCTCCTACTCGTCATCACTACCATCCGCATCGTCAGTACAGGCAGACTCACATTAGTATCCCTCCGCAACTACTGTATACAGTCACACTTAATCACTTTGCATCTTCTTCGCCACGCTTGTGACCTTTAATCATCTATAGCATTTTTCTGCTGCTCTCCATGATCAAGTCTCCGATGTCTCCCCTCCGTCTTGCTCCTGATGTCCACTCTCTCATCGACACCATCATAACCTTAGTTTCCCATCCATCCTCATCCTCCGCGAAGCGGTTGCAGCGTATCTGCTGTGATACATCTTTGCTCCCTGCGTATGTGTGTGTGTATGTGTTTCTGTGTCCGTGTCTGTGTGTGTGTGTGTGTGTGTGTGTGTGTGTGTGTGGGAGGCTTTGCCCGTTTCCAACTCATGGCTCGGTGATCAAGGGGTTTTAAGATTGACCGCTCAGGAGAAGCTGGTGCAGCAACTCACCTAAAATCTTGCGCTTCGCCTGCCATCGGAGAAGTGTGAAACAGGGATCGAATACTGTGATCATCTGACCTCTAAGAGGGCTAGGGGCTGTAGCTGTTCTGATTTCGCGCAATCCCGTGAGCCCTGTGCCCAGCAACCGCGAACCTGCAACCCAAACTTCTGAGTGCAGGAGGTCCTGAGGGCCCTGGGAGCAGTTCAGCGACCGGCTCTGCATGGACAAAACATGAGAGGATGCCTGGAATGAACATGTGGACAAGCGAGCAGGGTTTAGGGCTTCAGGTTTTCGAACTTACAGCCTGGCTAGGCGAAGGTGCTCAGACGGAATGGGCTTACACGCAACTCGCCGAACTCGCTGTCCTGGCCGCATCTCAACAACGGTGCAAGTCAGCAATTTAGAGAGAGAAACAGAACACCAAGCTAGGCTGGAGACAACAACAGAGAGGGAACAACGAGAGTGCTGATAGAAGAAGTCTCTGCATTTCAATATAGACGCGTAATTGAAAACCCGCTACATATCCGACTGCGCAATGTGCCTTGTCATTGGAGTCATTGGGCATGATGTGTGAAGTTATCGAACTTGAAAATGATGTGGCCAGTTGAATCATGCGCCAGTTGTATCTGGATTCTAAATAGCCGAAACTTACAGAGTACCCTCTACAAAGACTCAGCGTACCAGAAAGCTAGACACAAAGCAAATCACCCAAACTACAGCAACAAGTAGCAAGCCGTCTCACGTGACCGCAAAGAGGATCCTATAACCATGTGCATTTGTATAATACAATACAACATAATCGGATATAGACTGTTCTGTTATAGTCTAGTATAGCATACTGTATCCTTATATAAGACAATATAACGAAACCTAACATGGTTACATAAAGTGTGATATCCAAAGATAAAGAAATTTGTTACAGATTCTAACATACAGCAACGAAACTCGAGGCGGGATTGATGCAGAGAAAAAACACAGAGACACAAAAGGGCAGGAGGGAGAAGGAGGGAGAGAGAGAGAGTGAAAGAGGGAGAGATAGAGAGAGAGAGAGAGGTCGAGCGAAACAGGCAGATGAAGAGACGTTCAGACCGAGAGGCACAGGAGAGAAGCAAAGCGAAAAAGAAAAAGAGAGAGGGAGAGAGAGCCAGAGACGGATAGAGAGCTAGAGAGAGCGCGAGTGTCCGAAAAGGCACACAGAAACAGAGAGGACTCGAGACAGGCAGCGAGTGTGAGCGCCAGTCGAGCAGGCAGACCGAATCTGAAGCCCGAGCAAGACAACATTCTGCCGTGCGGCCGAGTTCGGGCCAACGTCAAGAACGGCATAGCCCTGCCTGAAGCAGGCTCTTAACCTTGCATCATCGTCTAGGCCATTATCGTAAGTATTTGCGATGCTCCTCTGAAGGTGATGCCGAAGATACTGGCGATGAATGTGATGATGCTGCTGCCTCCTGCTTCTGATGATGTCGCATACTAACATGATGGTAATGATGACGACGATGATGATGACGAGGATGATGCTGATGGTGATGATGACAATGATCACGTTTACGATGATGACGATTATGATGACGATGATAGTGATGATGATGATGATGACGATGCTGATGACGAGCAGGAGGAGGGGCAGGAGGAGGAGGAGGATTTGGAGGAGGGAGGAGCATAATGAGCGAACTGCAGCAGCGGTTGATGATCATGATCGTGATGAGCCAAGCCGTATGAAGGTGGCGTTGATGAAGAACTGCCCATGAGACTGGAAGACCAGTAGATATGCATGGGTATTATGATGCCCCTGGCTATGCAAGCCGTGGCGCTAAGTCCAGACAACCATGTCCAAAACTTGTTATTGGCTGTTCCGGGCAGAAGTCCAACCCATCGTCCGAATATGATTGTATGGACCCCCCCCCCCCACCCCTGAAGGCCTCAGAGCTGTGGCCACTTCCTTGCCGTTCCTTCCAGATCCGAAACGTGGCAGAAGGCTCCGGGCCCTTCACGTGTAGGCCCTAAGCTTACCGGAAACTTATATCGTCTAAGTCCAAGGGCTCTTGCGTCGTTCCTATGTGAAAAACTAAGATCGACGGCCCTGCAGCCAAGCTTCCAGACTTCCTCATCTTCGCATGTCGCTGGCTCCGTTCAACTTTATTGCAGACACGGTGAAGATTCTACCGAAGGAACCCGACCATCCCCACATCAAACAAGGAAGTACTTGGACCTCCGGTTCAGTTGATCCTGAGCTTCCCACAACCCGACCAACCCGACCTGTTTACACATTTGTAATCCGCCATGCAGAGCAGTCCTGCCGGACGGGTCTCCCTGCCAGGGAATGACGGCCCAAGCAACGGGACGGACGGCAGCAAAGACCCAAACAACCATTCTCCCAGCGCAGCTCATGGCAGGCAGCTCCCTCAGTCAGTCTCATCCCAAGGACCGCAGACGCTGAATGAGCCGTGTGCTTGCGTGCCTTTTGAGGGCTGGCTATTGGGATTGATGGTGGGATGGAGTCTCGGTGCGAGGTGGTGCCAGGCTTTGCGGAATATTCTTTCTCAAGCAGCAACGCATTAAGCTTCTATCCGCTTCAACTGAGAAACTCAGCATTTACGAACATATTCCGTGTCTTGGTTCAGTCGCTGGCCAGTCTCCTTTCGACGTCGACTTGAGCGCTACTAGTCACAACTGTCGTTTGTGTATGCTTCCTCATCCTGTTCATGTCACATGCTGTTGCAAGGAGCGCTAACGTTGTTCTTACGGCTACGGCTAAACGTCGCTGAAACCCCAAAACGTCCAGACCGTGTGTGCAGGCAGCAACGGAGGCAGCGAACGGCTCAACGGATTTTTGCCATGCGGCGACCTGAAAGCATTTCCACAAATCAACAGTTAGCCCAAAGTAACCAACGACCAAAACTCCGAAACTCTTCAAACCCTCTCCCAACCACGACCTCTGATCTCACCGAGTGGAAGGCATGGTCGCTTTCCATTCTGCTGGCCAGAGATGCTTGAAGTGGAGGTTGTATCATGTTGTGCCACAATGCGCCGACTCTTTTCAGTGGGTCTAGCTATTGTCGTTGTCACCCCTTCGTCATCATATGCGTATCTGTAAATACCTATATCTATACATACACATGTATCTAAACATGATTACAAATACAGGTATAACAACAACTAGCTATAAAAGTAGTGTGTATGTATATGTGTGTCTTGCATGCTGGCATTCCGCGTGTGACTGTCGGTAGCACCACGGCTCTTATGCTGTGCTGCCCTTAGGTACCGCATGCTCCTTGCTTTCATCTGTTGAAAAGCTGGTTTGGCGTGATGCTTTTGCTTTGAAATTTGGTAACTTGTATCGACCATTGTCATTCTATGCTCTGTTTTCGGTTGGGGTGCGTTAGAACGGTCAAGTCAGCCCGAGCATGTGCTTGGTTGACTTTCATTTAGGACCAAATTTAGGACTCTTGAGCAAGGGACCGGAGGAGCGTGCGGACGGAGATCGTGATGACCATCTTCTTCGGGGGGGGGACAGGGGGGGGGGAACCCACCCCAGAGAACCACAAAGGGAGAGAGGGATACCACGGGGTGGGGGAGGGAGGCGGGGGGGGGGGTGTCACCCCTCCGCCACCTCCCATGATCCACCCGAGCTTGCTGCTTGAAAGCAGTGGATCATGGGAGGTGGGCCACCTCAGATGCGAAAACACTGGCAGGCATCAAATCTCCCCAAAATTCCTGATCTCCTCGCAGGTCACCTCATGTCATGTCACACGACAGGTTGCTTCAGTAGATTCTCACTCCTCTGTTAAACCCTGTTGTGCGTGACAGGCGTGGTGCTTTCGGCATGTTTGCCAGTGTTACTTTCAATAAACTACTTCCTGCCTAAGAGCCTCATCATAATGTACCTGAACACCCCCGCCCACAAGAAAAAGCAAAAACAAGGCACAGAACCGCGCGCGGAAACATGCGGAAACGCTGGCATTTATCAAATTTCCGCAAAATCCTAAAATATGAGCAACAATCTGCCCCCCATACTCCCCATAGATGCCATGATTGCAAGGAAATTTGATCCTTGCCAATGGTTTTTTATATCAGGCTTTAGACATTTTTGGCGAATTTGTTAGAGCCTTGCAGCTCTTTGGCAACCTCAGATGCGAAATCGTCGACAGGGATCAGATTTTCCCAAAATTCCCTGCGCTCGCATTCCTCATAGATACTAGGACTGGATTGTTACTCTTATTATTGCTATAATTGTTAGTGTTATTGTTATTATCATACTATGTTTACATTAGCATAATGTCTGTTACTATTAGTAGCAGTGGCGGTGGTGGAATACAGGTTGTCCCTATTACCTGTTGTTCTTGCCGCAAATGTACCTGCAGCAGCACCAATCGCGGTATTACTGTCTTTAGTACATGTTCTTGTTGTATGGATGTGGCTGAATTTTATCTAAAGCCAGTCGAGGCCTTGGTTCTGTAGTACAACAGTCCTTGCTAAGTCTATAGTACCTCGCTCATAGATAAAGGAGCT